TTTATAGTAGGGATTATTTCAGCAGAGGACAGTTTTCCATGAATGCTGTAATGTTAATTTTTGACATTTCACAGAAACATTTGAGTGGATAATAAAGGGAACGCGTCAGACTTTACTAACCTAAAAGCTTCTCGAGTGACTGACGAGCGAGAGCGGAGGATTTCCTCCTGCAGACAAAACATTTCCGCTTCTTTTGAAGCCACTTGTTCGGCCACAGAGCAAGGAGGATGCACGATGAGCGCCTTGTGGTCAAGTTTTCAGCAGATCAGTGACGACCTGATGAAACATGTCCTTAGCCTGACTCGAGGCCCTGGCAGAGCGGTGGACGAGCAGCCGTCCTGCCTCCAATGAAGGCTCCACCTGTGCGGTGAAACACTCTCGACTCGTATCTCAGCCTGTCTTCTTTTAGTCAAGTTTGATTTTTACTTCTCTTCGGCTGAGGATTTAATTGATTTACACTCGTAACCCTCTACAGCCTGAACAAGAAGTCCATGTGAGGCAGGACGTCTCCAAACATCACAGGCTCGTGGAATGTGCTGCAGAAAGGAGGTCCGATGCTGCCCTGAGCAGAAATATTGATCTGACTTCATGGCTTCCCTGGCTTTGAGAGCAGCAACATCCTACAAACTGCCAGAAAAAAAATGTTTCCACTGATCAAACCAGGCAGACTGAGCTACTGATAACTGATCTGAGTCATCGTGGAAAAAGGAAAGAGCTGAAATTATTGTGTGAATGTTATGAAGCATTCACTCTGTTGTGGTCCATTTTTCTTACATACGTTTTTCAGCATCTTTCTTCTCCTGCATTTTTCAAGCTATTTCAACAAATCATACCCAAACGTTCAGCTCTTTCAGGACAGTCCTGATATGACTTTTACTAGTGCAACGTTAGCTTTTTGAAATATTTAGCCTTTTTTGCCATTTTTTCCCTCATAGATAATGAATTGAGCTCATTTTACATCCTTCAAATCTTTAGATCTGTTTACAACCTTTTACTGCTCCTTTCACATTTTGATCTGGTTCAGCTTCTTTCAGCTTCCTTGTGCAATTTTAAACTTTTTTTCCAGCTACTTTTAGCTGATTTCAGCTGTTTCTTCCAGCCGTTTTGTGATCCTTTCAAATTCTTTCTGATAACTATAACATTTTTGTGCCTCTTCTAATTTCTTTCTGATAATTACAGCTTGTTATGCTCCATTCAGCTTATTTCTATAAGTTTCAGTTTTTTTTGTTATATCAGCTACTGTTAGCTGTTTTATGCTCATTTAAGCTTTTTCAGCAAATTTGACATTTTTTGCACCACTTTATACGCGTTGAGGCCTAATTCAGCAACAATGTGCTCTCTCCACTCCCTTCTGGTAATTTAAACTTCTTTCTCCCTTTTAACTACTTTTCAGCTGTTTTTGCCAACTTCAGCTTTTTCCAGATAAGTTCCACTTTTTTGTGCCCATTTCTGCTTCTTTCAGTCTAATTGGGCAAAACTGTGCTCTCTCTCTCTACTTCTTTCTGCTAATTTCATCTTGTTCTACTTTTTCAGCTACTTTTTATTAGCATATTTGAGCTATTTTTGTCAATTTCCCCCCAAATTCACATTTTTCATGGTAATTTCTGCTACTTTCATCCTAATTAACTTATTTATGTCAATTTCATCTTGTTGTGCTCCTTTCAGCTTAATTATGCTAGTTTCAGCTATTTCAGCTACTATTAGGCTGTTTTATGCCAATTTTAGCTTTTTCAGCTAATTCCACAATTTTCTTTTTAGCTCATTTCAGTTCCTTCCATTTCCTTTTGGTAGTTTAAGCTTCTTTCTGGCTTTTAAGCTAATTTTCAGCTATTTCTTGCAAATTTTAGAATCAGAATCAGAATCAGTTTATTATCGCCATGTCAATGAACGAGGTTCACAAACTAGGAATTTGCTTCGACATAAGGTGCGAATAGTAATAAAGTAAAATAAAGTAAAAATAAAGTAAAAATTAAGTTAAATTGAGATCATTACATAAGACATAAGACCTGTGTAAACCCACAAATAAAGTAAAATTAAAAACATAACATAACCATATGTACACCCATACAATAGAAAACAATAAAAAAAGCTTAGAAAACAGTACAGATGGAGTATTCAGTTATAATACAGATGTAATGTGACCAAAGCAGAAATTATGAGGTAGCATTATGAGTGTTCAGGAGTCCAACAGCAGAGGGGAAGAAACTGTTCTTATGGCGGGAGGTTCTGGTCCGAATGGACCGAAGCCTCCTGCCTGAGCTAATTTCCTAACTTTTGTGCTCATTTCTGCTTGTTTGAACCTAATTCTGGAAATATGTGTACTTTCTGCTTTCTTCTGCTAATTTAGGCTTGTTCTTCCATTTAAGAATTTTTTAGCTAATTTCAGCTGTTTTTTTTTTATAGCAAGTTCTTCATCAAAACACATTCACACTGCATTTTGACAGGAAATTAAATTTCTCTAGTTTAACTTACATTAAGACAAGAACGCTCGTTACAGCCCTTGAACAATTCTGCTGTTTTTGTCCCTGCAGTAAATTAAATATAAACCTGCTTTAGCAACACAAGATGTTTCGGTCCATCTGTGTTAAAGAAAGAATAATAAACACTTCCTGCAGTCAGAAGGCCAGAGTGAAACAAAGGAAGGCGGCCTGAGGACAGAGAAGTCGGAGCAGGACATGGGAGGAGGCACAGAGGGGGGAGGCACCCAGTGGGCCATGAAGATCTGAAAGACCACTAGCATCCTTCCCCAGGAGGTGAGAGCTCTGCACACTGAAAAATCAGACTCGGGCGTTGTTGGATTTAGTTCATAATTTTAATGCTTCTAATTATTTTTAACAGTAAAAATAAGATTTTGTTGAATTAAAGTGTAATATAAGAAGCTAACTGAATCTGACGTGACCACTTTGATTAAAAATGTGCTTTTTTAAAAAAAATTAAATCATAACTGTCCCTTGATGCTTTCCATAGTTGCACATGAACGGTGCAGCATTTAAAATCAAACTTTTGAGCCGTTTTGCATCTCCATTTATCACTCATTTAGTTTGGGTCAAGCTTTGAATAATTAATCTTTTTACATAAAATGTATTGTAAAGGTTAAGTAAATCTAACGTTTTATTTCCTGGAGTGTGCTGAAATGAGGGGTGAAAGGCGCACTCAGTCCAGAGAGTCCTCCTCTGAGTCAACCTGCCCTCAGTCTGGAGGTATCTTTGTGTTAAGAGCTCAGAAACCGTCCGTCCACAGGACTCAAACTTTCCCACATGCCAACTCCAACCTGCCTGCAAATATTAGACATGACTTTAACAGACCGGTAACTACTTCCTGTTCCTGTCAGACACTAAAGCCCACAACATCAGGCTGCTAATTATAGCCACAACTAACAATTATGTCAGCTTATTATATGCTGTCACTTTATTGTTTAGTAAAAAAAGAAGGCAATTATGTTATTTATTCTTAGGGTTGGAGTTGTTATATGCACATGGCTCAATTTATTTATTCTGATACCAAATAAAAATAGATTCAGAACATAAAGGAAAAGCTCTAAATCCTTATCTGTGAGAATTAGGAGGCTTTCTGATTAAAAACCACCCAACAAACCTGCAAAAATATTCAAACAATACCCATATATATATATAAAAGAACCCTAAACAAGCAGATGGGCCGAGACTTTACAACCTGTCGTGAAAGATTATTTCTCTTCACGAGAAAAATGCGGCTGAAGTTCAAACTGAAACAAACCAGCAGGCTTCCTGCAAAACAAAAGACACGGCAGCCTCTGAGCAACACGAGGCCCATCAGGCAGGAACAATGCTGCCGTTGATGCCACACATATTTTCCGTTTGCAGTTGGAGCAGAGAGCTGCTGCACGGTGGCGATGCGTGAGCTCCTCCCCAGCCTCTCCATCCTCCCCGAGCCTCATTCAAACCTGGACTTCATTATGGGGAGCAGCGGAAACCATCACTGGCAATCAGGAGGAATTTACAAGACAATGTTCCAGAAAGAAACGGTCGGTTTGCACGAGGCCAGACGGAGAGAGATCCCTTCTGAACATAAAAAATAAAAGACCTGCTCGATGGAAGGCGCGCTCCGATTTCATAAACATGCTTTTATTTTTATTAAAAGAACACAACTAAGAGTCATTTATCTTCTAAATAAAAGGAACTATACATTCAGGCCTTATCTTAAAAACCCGTGCACCCTCGCCTTTCTGTTCCCTCTGAGTGATACCTTGCAGATGTAACAGGGCGTAGCATCTTTGTTTACGTCTGCTCTGGCTTCAGAGAAAGTAAAACAGGACGGGCCTCGGACATCCTGCAGCGTGCAAACCACATATACATTTATCTCAAAAGACTAATATATTAAAATGCTATCTGGACATGCATTTGTGTTAAATACTACTAATAACACATGAGCAAAGGAGTTAGAAAAACATCCTTTTTTACTGTGCTGGTTAAAGCTGACACCAACAAACACCTCAAATATAGCACTACATTGTAGGACTACAATATTAATACAGGCATTTTAGACTATTTAGTCCTATTTTTATGTTTACACCGAAAACAATTAAAACATAAACTTAATAGGGTTATTATTACGGATGAAGGCCAATAAAATAGTGAACAAAATCTGTTGGCTCCTTTAGGACAAAGAGGGGAAGCAGCAAAAACAGGAGATCCTGACAGATGCAACATGATGACACTGCTTTGTCATGTTCAGATGATTTATGTTGCTCTCAGCAGTTAATCCCTGGGATTATTTCACTGAAAACACTCTTCCCCTGCTCTATCAGTTCAATTAAGCCCAGTTTGATCTGATTTATGAACCAAATGTGGCTTTTTAATTACTTTATTGAAAGTTTAATTCACAGATTGTGTGTTTCCCCCAAAATTTGATGTTTGAATTTTTACTGCTTTGGTTTGACACAAGGGGAATAAATGGGGTGAATGGTTCATTTAAAGAGCATGATGGCAGTCAGGGTGGAGCAGGCTTTCTGCTCTTCTTACCTTTTTGTGTCTGTCTTTGAAAGGTAAGGCCGGCCACGGCATCTCCTGCACAAAGTCCTGCCAGTGCTTCTGGTCCTGGTCGGACGACACGAAGACGATCTCCAGCTCGTCCTTGTGCTCGGACGCCTTCTTGAAGCGGCTGTAAAAGTCGGCCAGGCTGCAGCTGAACTGCCGGCAGGGGCCGTTCAGGCTGCAGCCGAAGAACAGCCCGACCAGGGACAGCCCGGCGCCCAGGGACTGCACGTCCACCTCGGCTGCGGAGCCGTCGACGAGCCGCTCCCCGAGCAGCGCCAGCAGAAACTCCGACATCGCGGCGCGACGGAACCCTCAGTCCGCAGCTGCAGTTCAGGGGTGCCCAGCCGTGCGGGGGGGCCTTCCTCCCTCCCCGCCTCCGGTGTGAGGTTTTAAGGTGAGCTCGGAGCCCCGGAGAGGCGCTGCCGTGCGTGTGTAAATGTGTGTAAATGTGTGTGTGTGTGGCGCTGTGCAGGAATGCGCTCCCAGGCTGGAACAGCGGCTGCGCGCGCTCCTCTCCACAAACCTCATTTATCATCAGCACCACTTTCTGTGCGTTGCGCCTCAAACCACATTCTGTTTCAGTTTCAACTGAATTAAAGCCCCGGGTTTAATTAATCTCTTGGTTTTAATTGTTATTGTGGGCCCCTCGAACGCTGCTGTTTTAGTCAAATAAGTCATATTAAGTGTGTTTGAGCCCCAAAACGGACTATTCTGTCTTTTAGTTAAAAAAATAAAATTAAATAAAATAAAAAAAGCCGCATGATTTATTAAGTTTTATGAAACGTTTCTATAAATACAGGAGTGACTAGAATATAACTTTGAGGATTTGCTGCCATCTAGTGTCCAGAATGCAGAAGACAATTTTCAACCTCAGCCTTAACTTTTATTTCTTGGGTTTTCTATCAGCTGCTGCATGCTTTGTGCTGTCACTGTGTTAGTTAAAACAAACAAACAAACAAAAAAAACATTCAGCTCATTCAGCAGATTGATGCCAGGACTTTTACACTTTGAAATCTGCTTCATCAACTTGCTGTTTTTGTTTTCTTATACTTCTTGGTCTGCTGCCTTCATACATCTCCTCCTACATGTCTCTGCTTGAGTGCAGCTACAGCGTGCGCTCTCAGGACATTATTACCTGCAGTGTTCCCTCAGTGCAGACTGAACTAGGCAAAAGGGCCTTCTCCTACTCTGCTCCTGTTTCCTGGAATATCTTACAAAAAGATCTGAAGCTCTCGACCTTGATCTCTGTAAGTGGCTTTAAGAATCTGTTGGACTCCTGGCAGGGACCAATGCAGACATGTTCCTGTTTTTAGTTTTTTACATTCGCTTTATAATCTAGCTGTTTTTTTAATGTCTTATTTGTAAAACAAAAAAATAATCTGTATGCCTTTTTACAACTGTTTATTGTTGTCGCTGTTGTCCATTGTCGTCATCTTTCTTTGTTGAAATCTGGTCTCTCTTGTAAATGAGTCCTCGGGGCTCAATGGGAATTACCTGTCTAAATAAAGGTTGAATGAAACTTTAGCTACCATTTTGATGCTTTTAGCCAGCACAACTTTTAGTCAACTGTTCGCCAGCTTTAGTTACTTTTAGTTTAGCTAGCCTTTTGTTTGTTTCTAACTAGCCTTTGGCCACTTTGAGCCTTTAGTCAGCCTATAGCTACTTTTAGCCAGCCTTTGGCTACTTTTGTATTTTGGTCCACCTTTGGTTAGTTTTAGCTTTTGGTCAGCCTTTAGCTACTTTTAGTCAGCATTTAGCTACTTTGAGCTTTTGGTCAGCCTTTAGCTACTGTTAGCCAGCCTTTGGCTACTTTTAGGTTTTGGTCAGCCTTTTGCTACTTTTAGCCAGCCTTTGGCTACTTTTAGCCTTTGGTCAGCCTTTAGCTACATTTAGTCAGTTTTTGGCTACTTTGAACATTTAGTCAGCCTTTAGCTACTTTTAGCCAACCTTTTATTACTTTTAGTCAA